TGCTTGTAAACGATTCGAAGTGAAAACTCCTTCGGTCTTTTGGAATTTTGCAGTCCAAGTACTCGATTCATGCAAGAAAATGAAACATATTTATCACACACGACCAACCACATCATGCAAACATGACAACATGAGCTTCACAGCAAAATGCATTTGATACCTGTAGTGAATGTCTCTAAAGGCAAATTGTCCAAGTGAAAAGAAATCCGGTTATTTCTATGAGGAATGTAGTTTCCCTTTCATGACATACGTAATACTCTCAGTACTGGAACCTTTTGATTCCATATTTGTTAATTTTTTGAGAGCAAAGCATTCAATTAAGAAGTAACAGCAAAATAAACAACTCTGAGAGATGTGTTAAAATGATATAAGCAAGAGCAAGGAAATACACACGAAATTAGCAGAAATGATTTTACCGTTAGAAACTGATCCAATGACTATCGTGACTTATCACAAGTATGCCGGATTATGAGCAAAACACTGCCCGGGGTAAAATCGAATCGCACCTCTGGTGTAATGGGTCGCTTATCTGCCGGGATATACTGCCCGGATTTAGATAAACTTGCAAGAGGACAGGGTCAGCCGCCCGTTCGAACTATTCAGACGGGGGTCGTATTTGCGATTTTGGGAAGAGGGTAGTCGTGTTTGGGGTTGGACTGGGTTAATAATCTCTTGCAAACGGGGTTCGTATTTGTGGAAATTGAAGGCGGTGGTTGCCGGGAATTTTTGACAAACTTTTTTCTAGAGTCGGCAAAAACTTCCCGGAGGAAGAAATTGGCAGAATAAGAAGATTTGCGTTTCCTCGGACATATTACTCGCCTCTCGAGAGTCATATTTAAGGGAAAGAGAGGGCGGAGTTGGGAATCGAATACTATAGAAACAGCCACCAATCACAGACTAGTGGGCGTGGCGGCAGCATAAGATGTCGATTTCCGTCCCTCAACCGGGGGCCGGATTCAATCCACCCCCAAGGGATTGCGGATGTATGTAGGTCAAAGTACCCTCTCTTTAAAAAGCGAGAAAGTGTCGGGTGCAGATCATGCACCACAAGTGACGACGGCCTTCACAAAATGTAGTTTTACTTGGAGGCCGTCGTCAGTTGTGGTGTTTGGTCTGCACCCGACACTGCACGCTTTTTAAGGGGAGGTGAAGGGGAGGTTAAACATGCAATGAAAATGAATAAATTATATCGTTAAAAAACAAATAAATTTAAGGGGATTTTTGTCTTCAACCCCTTGGGAAAGGATTCAATACGGCCCAGAGGATCCTACTGCAGGTTTAGGCAAGGACAGGTTCGGGTTACATTTCGGTCTAGGGCAGTGATTTACCCATAATCCAGCATCCTTGAGATAACTTTCTCATGTCTAGCGGCCAACAACAGCACTCAACGCCCAAAACAACTTATCGTGACTTTCAAACGAATAATTTCCAAAACATTCCTATTTTCCGAAAGTTAAATTTTGCCACACTCCCTTGGTCAAGGCTTATGAGTTAGATATGTCTCTTGATGCATCAACCAAATCAAACAGCCGGCTGTAAATCAGTGCACACAATCACTATCACAAACAATGAAAGAACAGTTAGTCCAAACACAGCACTCACAGGCCACAAGTCTTCAATCACTTCGGTCATGCAGTGGCACTCTATGCAAATCGTCTAGGATCAAACTGATGCGATATTCGAACGCCTTGCGATCCTCGCTAGTTGCTGAGGCGGCGGAACTGAGCTCGTCACCTCCCTGCGACATAATCGCCGTCAGTGGGGGCATAGACGGGACCGTGACAGCGTCACGCCGATTCTCGCGGTTATCGATGGAGGCACTGGACGTTGAGCCATCCGAATCGCAAATGAGACGCGTCACAGTTTGTGATTCAAACGACCGATTCAAAATACGAAGCGGTACGTTTCGGAACCGTGACAACGATGCTGACGAATCAGAACTATGAACAGTCGCCAGGTCCCGTGAACTTCTAAATGGGGGTAATGACGACGACGAATCGGTACTGCTCACCCCTGGACGAGGTAATGACATATACGCTTGTTTCTCGGCAGCAACGCGACCACATGCAGCTGAATCCGATTCCTTGGCCAGGCGTGAGAGATCATTGACCTGAATATAGAAATAGGTTCAAATTTTAGAAAATCACAGATGGTACACAATGGCAACAAAAGAACACGATCAAAAAGAAAACATACCGATTGGCACCACGTATCACAGAATACTTCAAGATTTTCTCGAGCAATACGGCTGGAAGGATGTTGACAGAGCGTACGGCCAGATAACAATGTCTATAATTTACAGTGTGAATATTTTGGAAGAAAGGCACCACAGACGATTCGATTCTCCGATTCGCCTGGTGAGGGTATCCAAGCTCGATCGAGCGATCATTAGTGTATCGCAAAAAAGCTAACCTCAGTAGACGGACATTAAGCAACATTTTCATTATGCTAAGGTTTCGAGCAGACCAAAAACGGAATCTCTACTGCTAATCTATGAATGAGACATTGTATGTATGGAAGGTTTATTGAATTATGTGCTGGTCCAGCTAGAATGGCTCTCGATAAAGCTTTTGAGCCGGTGGGAATGAAATCAATGCTGGGACTCCTTCGATGATTGTCAGCGGCATTCATATTTTTTGGAATGGGGGGGATACGACATTCGTGAGATTAATCGATAGCTAGAGGGGATGAGAAACCAGTACAGTACCTTTGTTTACAGTGATAGCCGCGTACGTGTGATCTGAGGTATACGAGGAAGATCGAGACGTCCCGAGGATCACGATGAAACACTGAAGGAGGCAGGAGTGAATAACGGATCGAGTAATTCGCGACCATGGACGGTAAAGAGGGTCAGACGTCAGCGTATCGAAATTTCGGGATTTTTGCGCCCCTGTGAAGGGGTCCAATTGCGACCCCCACCAATACACAATTGCGACCCCCCAATACAACACCAGCCATCCCCCACCGCGACCTCTCCCTCTTCTATAGTATTTGATTCTGAGACCAGTTGACACAGCCCAAAACCTACCTAAAACTCCGAAACTCCGCCTACTTTTTCCCCAAAAATAGCGCGGTCGGGAGGGGGGGGGGGGGTATATACAACCACTGAACCCACAAACTTTGTCACTTTTTCACACACACCTCTGCCCTGCCTGATTGACCAAAGCGCGCGCAATGCGACCCCTGCTTCCTCGCAGAACGGAGCCACAATGCGACCCCCCCGTTCGAACTGGTGTCGGACGGGACGGGTGACCTGGCTGTAGTGGCAGGTAGGTGAAGCGAAAGTGAGGGACGCACACAGAGCACAGGCCGCTCGTGCATGGCGAGTGTGAATGTCCGCGCGGGAGAGCGTAACTAAGCAGGTGAAAATCCTCTTCGACGCGGTAATGAGGAATCCTCGACCGATATTCACCCTGCTGTAGGGACATATGAAATGCATGTAACTTCTAGATCATCAGACAAGGCTTCGTTTATAAGCTTGGTCGTTCACTTGCAAACAATTTCAATAGAAAAAAAACCAGCCAGGTACTTGTTGATTGAGATTACTATTGACAAGTAAAACCTCCGCAAAGGAAATCGAGGAATCAATCTAATACCTAATGATAGTACAAAAAAATGTTGTAAGTAACTGACCAATGGCGCCAGCGCTCGCATATTCCGTTCACAGTGGCCGGTGTTCACATGAAGTGCGTCTGTTAACGATATATGATGAAGCAATCGACACACCTCAAAACCAACAGCGAAGAGATATGTAAAAATTAGGGGTCCAAAAAATCATAAGCAATTCAATCAATGATAAATGTCTTAGAAAACAACTAACCTCCTGCATGTGCTCCGCATGCTCTCTATACTTCTCCATATATCGTTCAACGCCGTCAATATCACCGGAAACTGCGCATGCTTTTATCGACGACAACAGTACTTGGTCTTCGTTAGCTCGTAAAACTTCGGAAATCTGAACTTTCCAATAAAAAACTCAAATTGGAAAAAGATGCTGCGCTAAAGGGGAATTCGACGAATGAATAGCAAAGTATAAAAAGACATCTCTCACATGCTCCATCGCGACGATTTGCAATTGTTTCCCAAGATCTTTCAACCTTCTGTTCAACCGTTCGACGGTTACCTCAATACCATCAGAACGCAGTTGATCGGAAGACTCGTCCTGGAAATGGTTCTACAAATACTGGTAATAATTGGAACCACAGAAAATGCCGCTTACATCAGGCTGAATAAGATTTGTCATCTCGAAGCGACATTCTTCCAAGAAGTCGAGGATTTGCTCTCGATGATGATGTGGTGTGTAGGCAGAATCGGTGAAGTCCTAAAAGGGGGTCAGGTCAAAATAAGACATCACCTGCACACTTTTTGCAGCTTATGGAGTGATCATACAAAAAAGCTTCTCTAGTTCGAAGAATTCTTGCAAGACATGAAAGGGGAAAGTTTGTCACGGATTATTCACCTGAGTCATTTCGCAAAGTGCATCGAGCGCTCCGATAAGCCGTTCCCTCACTCCAACTCCGACCCTAGAAGTCATTCGAACCATTTCCAACATCTCCTGAAAAGAAATTTTCGACAAAATCATCACCAAGTTTAACACATTCCCGACAGCTCGTCTGATATCACGGTATCTTTTCTAACGATGGTGGAAATGGAGTTTAGGGGAGGGTGGGGTGGCAAACTCCACTTCCACCTTTTCTTTAACATTTCTCTTTGGATGTCCACTATCTCCTCAATAGTTTCGCTACTCGTAACAGATACATTGTTCACCAATAAAACATATGGACAGATTTGAAATATGAAGAAAGGCAAATAGACCAAGCAAGACGAATTTCATGCGTGTGAAAATGTGAAACGTAGACGCGCCACGCGGTCTTCTATATAGTAAAATATTGACGATGAGGCGACGCCACCGCGGCCCATATAACACGCACATTCCCACAGAGGACTCGTTTACTTGGGAGTAATTTGCATTGTTCATGCGCCACAAACCTGCCCGTAAGCATTTCCGGATCCAAAAAATATATCACTACCAATATTTAAATTAATAATTAAGTTCGAATGCATATATTAAATAAGCTCATTATGAAACAAACTTGCGAGATACGCGCACCAGCGCTTTCCTCCTATGGTGTAAACATAACTTTTAGCAAAAAAGAAAGAAGGGGTTAGCACTCGTCGAGCATTCCGCACAAAAATAAAAACAACTAAGTTTTTTTGAAAACTGTTTTGTAAACCATGTTCAGCTTGAAAAAAGAATAATGGCTCTAAAACCAAGCCACAAAGCGAGTCTGTCAGCTGTCAGGCTGACACAAAATGATAAAGCGTAGGGTAAAGCTTCCATTCGACATTTCACGAGTTTGTCTGAATCAAACCTTGTCAGCGACGTGCACTTGTAAGAAAACATACTTTCGTTTGTTACCGCTGATGTTTTTCGATGTAGAAGAAAAAATGAAAAACTTGAATTAAAAACATACAGTGAGTTGTTTAATGGCAGCGTTAGCTGTGAGTTGAATTCCGATATCCAGCGGTTCTTCACTCGACGTTTGAACAAATCGCAATGGATCTACGGGAAGTACACCATCACAAACACAAATTGCGATGAGTTGAAGTGCAGTTCGAATCTGAAGCGAAACCAGGACTCATACAGAACATCAAATTTTGAAAAAAAAGCCACTTCACCGAATAATTGAAGAACAAACTAAAGAAGTCCCGTTCCACTGACCTGATCGAAAACTCCATCCCTGCACTGAAGCGCACTTTCAGATTCGGGATGCCGTAAGAGGGTCTTTGACGATGTGAGCAGAAGCATAGTATGCCGTTCAAGGGCAGCCCTGGCCACACCCATTTGAGCCCTCCGTTTCTCACTTTTCAAATCGTGTTGTCTGTACAATAATAATAACATAATAATATAGTAACAATAACAAATGATAAAGAAACATGACATTATGATAACAATAATGAATAATAACATAATAATACACAGGCCTGATAACTACTTTAAATTAAATAACTACTTTGGCCCGCCCCGGAATAACTTCGGTTAGTTGCGTTGACCAGGCTGACCCTACATTTTCTTTCCTTTTTCATATTTCTTTTATTGACGAGGCGCTGCAAGGTAAAAGCTTGCTGTTGAGGATACTAAACTACAGACGTCTAGATGTCTCTCCCTTGCTATTAGTCAAGTATAGCTTCTGGCAGCCTAGTTTAATGGCATTTTCGCTCCATTGTTGTTGTAGGTCAGAAAGCAAAGATTGTCTCTAGCCCACCTCTTCCGTTCGATCATGTTCTACTAAGATTATTGTGTTTATTGATGGCGCACCTTGAGTGCATTATAAATAAATAATAAATAAATAAATATAAATAAAAAGGAATCACAATTTCCTGAAACTAGATCAAAAACTTGATTCAAGAGAATGTTTCGAAATCACTGAAAAATCCACCTGTCACAGATCGGTGAGCTAAGTCTACCATTTCACCTCCGAATTCCGCAAATATCTTAACGAATTCGGTGAAGGAGCGACAAACTTCTAGCCGAGAAAGTGAGTAAGCCACCTGAAAGATATTAATATTTCTATTCGACCGTTCGAGCTTTGGACAAGTTTCCACTGTACAGTCTAGCGAGAAAGGATCAAGCATTCGGCGTTAATCATTCCTTTTATGGAATGCTCCATGCGCCATGCCACAGCCAAAATAGCAATCTTATTGGCATTCTGACACAATTTTAGACTGAGAACGGACATCGGGGCCAGCCGCGTTGTGCAAGTCGGTGTTTTCATCCTCGCTGTCTAAATTCCCTAACTGTGGCGCGTGTAACAGCGCATTCCCCTCATCTAAATCCCCCATAATCTAATATTAATTACAGAAACTATGCACGAAGAACATGGCAGTTGTGAAAGGTTTCAAAAGAAAACGATAAACATCGGACGGTAATAAGGAGTTCTGCACGCACAAGGCCTGTGCAGTGCTCCTAATGACTAGGGAAAGATAGAGCTAACCAGGATTCGTACGGTTCGATACTATAGAAGAGCTTACAGTTTAACTGAACGATTTTCCGATAAGAAAAATTTGAATGAATTTTCTTGAAGTTGTACTCGTGCACTAATGCCAGCCAAATAACTCAGCTTGCATGTTTCGCAGTTATGGGAAGAAAAACAATAAACAACAGGTTGAGGTTCTCACCTTGTCTTCGGCTCGTAAAATGTGTTTCACGAGCACTCTATCTGCTAAAAGTAGCACCCTCGTTACGCTACTGAGAAGTTGCCGACTGGCTCGCACAAGCACACTCTTGTCCAAAAGCGGCGCATCAGGAACGTCCGTAGACACCCAGCAGAAAAGATTGCTATAGTGCACCGAAAATGCAAGCGACACTAAACAGCAGGAAAGATTGGCTATAGACGCACCTGAAATGCAAGCGACACTAACAGTAAGGGAGTAGGCTCACATTCAGTCGAAAAGCGTAAATTGTCATTTAATTGCCGACTGCATTCCCTTTATTCGCCCTCCAGAACCAAGGTTATTAATAGATGGATTGATAATCTACTTCATGTTGAGGCCAAAACTTCTAAATGTGGTTATACATTAAGACGCCTTGCAGTTCAAGTGTAGAGTGGATACTTATTGATCATGCGATGATCGCGTGATCGATACTATCTACTACAATTTGAACTGCAAAAAATAACAAGACAGTTGCAAAGAATGACCGCTCCCCAAAAAGAAAGACAAGATTTGTTATAGGAGTATGGAAACTAGGCAAAGCGACCTAACTAAGAACCATAGAATGCACGCCAGATCCCCAGAAATGACAGATCAGGAAAAGGTTGGGTGTACAATTCCCTAAGAATTTCGTGGCATAATCCAAAAATGTAGATTTGGGGCCGTATGCTATCCTCCCCGAAGGGGTTGGGGAACGAAAATCCCTTTAATTTTCTCTGTCTTCCCTTGGAGAAGAAGGCTGTGTATTGCTTCTATACTAAGGGAGCACTCAGCTCGATCACTTCTTATAAAAACAATATGAAACACACTAACTTACAGAATTAACGGATTTCTCAAAATGTCTCATGTAGCCTCGAAGGCTTGACGAGTATGCGCGTTTATATTTTCCCATCATTTTTTCAGGCGTGCACGACTCTTCTCAAGTTTACAATTATTCTATAGACTGATACACTGATAAAACCATAAATGACGTATTATATGGATTGGTCTAACATGCTGCTGTTTAGCAAAGGCTTTCTAGCTTTACGAAATTCTAGCTTGGTTCACTCTTCGTTTTTTTATTGCCATGAACGTTCAAATAAAAAAGAATAGTGGATGGACACACAAAACTGGGCAAGAAATGCGTTCTTAATGAGACAGTCAAGGTAAAAAAAAATTGAATTCAATGTCAGTTAGTCACAATTGGAAAACATCTACTGACCATCGTCTTCATGGTCATTACGCCTCCTTTTGATCGAAGCTTTATTGCTGTATTCCTATATTATATCTAAGCTTTGACCGCTGCTGGAATTACTCTGTGGCACTCATATTTTTATGATCTACTATACAAAATCCGAGGTGAAGACGGAGGCCAATACTGCCCCGCGAGGCCAAAAAAGCCAAAACAGGTGCTGCCGTCGCTGTATTGAAGTCAAGAAAGCGAAAATACCAACAAATCCCAGGTGCTCCCACTCTCCGTCCATTTAAAAGAAAGATGGAGAGCATTCGCTTTCAAAGCTGCTTTACACTTTGATGGCATTGTACAATGGGTAGCATGAAATAACCAAGGTTATAGCCGGAGAATGTTGAAAATGAGGTGGTAAAAATAGCGAACCTGCCAGGCGTGCTTCGTGACATGCATCGTACATCTCTGGTTGAATATCTGGATTTTCATCAGCGATCGTTTCTCCTACCGCAACGAATCGCTCGATAGCAGCTTCCACCGCGCTGCCAACCTTCAAAAAGGAATTCATTGAGAAATTTGTTGCTAAAGAAGAAACCCAAATAAAAAAGCGGATCCCACCTTCAAAGCCGCTCGAATCGCCCTTTCTGACTTTGGTCTGCCATTTAAGAGATATGACTCTTTGAAGTTGACAAGCGTAGTTATCTAAAAATTTACTCAAATTTCCATTCAATCAACGTTGTCCTCTTCAGTAGTTCAACTTACTGATGACACTGTTGATATGGAGATAAGAAAACAGTGTAAGGCAAAGAAAAAAATGCAACCTCATAGATCCAATGCACTTAGCTTTAGAAATCTTGCCTACTATTACTACACATTGTTCTATTGCCTAATGCATTTTCTTGACTAATCAAGAGCTAAAACGTAAGAGATAAAAAAGTGGGAAATCCTGCTGTAAGTTGAACAAAAAGAACGAAAATTCTTGGTGGAAGATGAATTAAATAACAGGAAGAACAAAACACCATATGAACTGTAGAAAATATCCTGCATTTCATCGACAGCATTTTCTAAACCACGTACTAATCCAGAAAGCTGGATCTTCGTTATTCTACTGGCCCAAATCTAGTTTCTTTTCGAAAAAAAAAAACTGAAAAAAAGAATCGTGGTTGTTTCACCAGTACTTTGGGAACTTTACTCCAGACAGGAAAAGGGCAGATCCTAAACATACGATGGGAAAGAGAAAGCCAGAACACATGAAAACATTTTCCCCAAAGAATTACAATATTGTCAGAACTCGAGGTGCGCAATGGGGCGGCAGGTTTAGAAGGTGACAGCGAAAATGGCACGTTCTCTTCACTTTTCCTGCATTTAGGCTACGAAAAAACAACCAAGCGGAGTAACCCCATGTCATTCGTCGTTGAAATCTAGGCATTACGAGCAGATGTGTCGTGTATTCTTTCGCTCAACAAGGTTGACAGATTGAATCTTTATTGTTCAGGTCGGTAGATCGAATGACTTGCAAACCGGAAATTTTAAGCCATTTCAAGGCTCGAAAGACGACCAGGTCGAAACATAAGTCAAAAAATGAAAAACCCATCCGAACACCTTGTTAGTAAAATAAAGTAGGACACATTGAACAGATAATGTAACGACATGTTTTCATAACGTTCTCATATGTAGATAAAACTTTCAAGAGGATAACACTTCATAAACGATAATGATGAAAAAAAACAAGGAAAAGAGAAAAGGAATAAATATATAACAGTCACTCACCTGAGACACTAATGGCACCAATGTGTGCTCAATGGATTTCGTTTTGATCTCCAGATTCCTCGCATCCAGTCCGAAACTAGTTCCACCCGCACCGGTAGCTCCGTGATCCCCCGTGGGGGCACGCGCTAAGGACATACCTAGATTGTCTGATTGTGAACATGTGATATCGAAAAAAGGTCGAAAGTTTTCAAACGAATTCAAATACTAGCAACGCCGAAATTGCAAAAAAAAATCGATAATAATATAATTTTTCCGCTACTGGTTCTCAAAAGCAATGAGGTATCTATGAAATGTGAGGCTTTCACACAAGTTTGTGCGCTTTTTTCGGCGGAGAATGTAATTTTTGCGCATCATTACCTACTGAGATTAACATGAATAATCTATCCCCATTTTATCCATTGATCTGCGGAGAAACTTCAAATCCTAGGAGGTGAACCACGAACTAATTAATTTATGGTCGTCGTCGAAGGGAACACCAGAAGCGCGTTGGACAATGATAGAAGAGGGTAGCTGGCTAAGAGCGCTTCCACAGAGGAACAAGATGAATGGGAAAGAACTTCCAAACTAGCACCTTCTGACCACTTTGGTCTGACTTCGGAATGCGGTCGGGCGTGCTGAAAGAGTCACCCGCCCCGGTTTTGGTCCCTTTTTGTTACTTTCAAGTGCCAACAGCAACTGTTTCCTGGCTGCCTCCAGCC